CTGAACCTTCCCTTTCTTTGAGAGTTTGCTATAGGTGAGGATGTTTTGGTTTTCTTCAGACCTGGGATGTTCTAGGTGCATTTCATCATGTAGGCCTGGTATTTATTATATATACCAGGAGTACTGGTAGACGTAAATAAGAAAAGAGTGTAGATGGCTCTTCCTAGTTATAGAGGTGAGGAGCTGAACTTGGGATGCAAAACGGTCTTTGTGCCTAAGAGTTTTGCTCTGGTTCAGCAACCCCCTCAGATGCACTGTTGTCACTTTGAGCAGAGACACCGGATGATACCTAGAGGCGGCTGGAAAGATGAGTTGTACAGGCAGTGATTGCTATCAGAGGCAAAAGAAATTAATCCAAACTGGGAAAGTCAAGGAAGGCTATTCTCAAGGAGTGTGGTGGTGACTTTGCCCTGTTTCCATTGACCTTGTGTGTTTGATCCTCATGCGTATTCCTAGATGGAAAAAGACAGCTATGGTCAGTGAGTCTTCTGGGATGATTGCCTACTAGAGCTGAATCAGGCTCTGGACTTTTAGCTGTGGGACCTGTGCCAAGGAAAGGAAGCCTTCTAGGTGGAACGCCTCACTGGGCAGAGCTGGCTGTGTGAGGAGAGAGCTACCCCTAGCGGGCCTGTGCGAAGCATGCTGAGAAGGCCAACTTTTTTTTACCTTGACCCAAAATGAGCTGTTTTGTTTTGTCTGGTTTTGTCTATGATATGGACCTAATGTAGACCTTAGCTAATAAGACAGCAGGATGGGAGAATGTGTCTATTCCCCCACATTCCCAAGGTGAGAAACTAATTGATTCTCAAATTTTTTTCCATAATCAAATACATATGATAACGTGTCCCCTTTCCTCCATGTTCGGACACTTGAAGTTAATGCTGTGAGGATTGGATCTGAAATTAGGGTACTAGTTAAGAAGCTAAAGAAAATGGAGTGCTGTGGAGGCACTGACACAGTAGGGCATTGACAGAATATTAATAAGGGGATACAGACATGGGAGCTCATAGTAAACATGCTCCCTGGAGATCATCTGTGTTGTACCATTAACTCGCAAATACTTGATTCATGAAGAAATGGACGAGAATATAGTGGTGTTAATGACCTGTAGTTTTACTCAGATAAGGTTGGAAGGGGTGAGACCCCCTGGTTTGTCTAGCATTGTACTCACATTATAGAACTTTTGCCTTCCCTGGCAGATTAGTAATTTCTGTGAAGTCATAGTAGCTTCTAACACTTAATGAGTACTTCCTATGTGGCAGGCGCTAATAAGTACAGCACATGCATTCTTTCATGTAAGCTTCAGGTTAAAAACTTGCCCGAGTATCACAAAGCTTAGGAAAAGAGAGGACTGGTTTTCGACTCCAGGAGGTCTGACTTCAGAGTCTGGACTCTTAGCCACTTCTCTATGTGGCTGAGTCTGACTGGCCTACCTTTCTCTCCAGTATTATGATGTCACTGTTTTTTAGGAACAGAGTGTTCCTTTGCTGAGTCTATAGCCACAGACCCAAAGTAAGAGACATGTTTCCTTTCGTTTCAACCTTGGGAACCTTCTTTCTATACCAATTTTTTTTTTAATTAGTTAATATTTATTTAGCATCTGCTATATTTTAGAACCTTTGATACTGTATATGCAGACCTTATGACGATACTGCAACATAAATACCTATCTTGTTGGGCTCACAGTCCTTTTTGAGAGTCTGATGACAGCTTTGGATCTTCTTTCCAGAAAAATTTCCTTATGCACATAATATTGCACACAACTGCAGAGGTGGCTTCTAGAATCTACTGAAGCTTATCCTCTAGCAGTCCATGGACTCCATGGTAAGAATTCTTGCCCTCTGCAACCTTTCGCAGCTGACTCTTCCATAGTGTTAAGAGGCCAGGCAAGTGGCGGTGGCGGTGGGAGGGGGTCTCACCTCCTTTCTTTCTTCTCAGAGAGAAATGTTTATACGGCTTAGGCTCCCTAAATTAACCAGATGTCTCTGAACATTCTTTCTTTCTCTCTTGTCTGTAGGACTCCAAGGGAAGAATGCAGACGATTAAATGTGTGGTTGTGGGAGATGGGGCTGTAGGTAAGACCTGCCTCCTTATCAGTTACACAACAAACGCCTTTCCCGAGGAGTATATCCCTACTGTCTTTGACAACTATAGTGCCCAGACATCTGTGGACGGCCAGATCGTCAGCCTGAACCTGTGGGACACAGCTGGCCAAGAGGAGTATGACCGACTGCGAACACTCTCCTACCCCCAGACCAATATCTTCGTCATTTGTTTTTCCATTGGCAACCCATCTTCTTATGCCAATGTGAGGCATAAGTGGTACCCAGAGGTCTCCCATCATTGCCCCAATGTACCTGTTTTGCTGGTAGGCACCAAGAGGGACCTGCGAAGTGACACTGAGACAGTGAAGAAGCTGAAGGAACAGAGCCTAGTGCCCACAACTCCTCAGCAAGGCACTTCCCTGGCTAAGCAGGTGGGGGCTGTGAAGTATCTGGAATGTTCAGCCCTGATGCAGGATGGGGTCCATGAGGTATTTTCAGAAGCTGTCCGGGCTGTACTGTACCCTGCCACAAAGAAGAACAGCAAGAAGTGTGTCCTCTTATAGCTTTTGGGGTGCTGCTTGGGGACTGCACCTAAGGAGAATAAGGGGGAATTCCTTTGACAGCATTTAACAATGCCAGCGTGAGCCACTTATCTCTTCCCCTGGAAACCCTGGACTCCACGTTATTCAGCTTTTGGAGGAACAAAGAGAGGCTAGTTTGCACTTGGCTGCTTTGAAGTTTGGTCTGAACCTTTTGGAGGAAGTTTGAGAGAGTGAGTGTGTGTGTCTCTCCTGTCGAAGTGGTAAGAGGAGATGCCACCAAGTGCTGTACTTTTCTGTCCTGGCCAGGCCACGACTAAGCAGAACAGCCTAGCACTGTTGTTTGTAGGCTTTTGCTTGGCTGTTTAAAATCTAATTTCAGCATTCCTGGCTGTATTTACCGTTGAGCAAGTGCCTCACAGAAGGACAAGTTTCTCCAAGTTTTCAAATCATTGCCTTAAGCTTTCTGATATACTAATTTTTGGAAACCATCTTATGTGTGCTTCCTGGGTGTTCCCAATGTTGACATGCTCTTTCCATTCTTGAGAGGAGATATTTTTGCAATAATGGTTAAGCAGCATTTCTAGAGTTCTGTGAGATGGTAACAGATGTTTCTTAAAAGGGTTCTGTGGTCAAATAAGGCAGGAACCAGTGATTTAAATAATGCCGAATAGTTTCTTCTACTGCAGGAAGTTATAACTTTTATTAAGTATGCAATATTTCCCAAACTTATTTCACTGAACTTTTGTTTTTTGGCCCCATGCAACACCTATTAACATCTCTGGGAACACAGTTTCAGAGATGCTGAATTACAAGGGACTGGGAATTCTCATGGCGGAGACTGTGAAAAAAGCATAATGTGGTCCTGTTCTTTGTGCTGTTTCCCTCTTCATTGCCTTTGAGAGGAATGTTTACCAGCCATGGCCTTGTTATTGGTTTCTCTTCCATCCTCAGGAGGTGGGTTTGGCAATTAGTCATGATAGTATATTGGCTGTGGGATCTGATGTTCAGATCTGCTCTTGGATTCTGCTAGCATGGTGATGTGTAATGAACAGTCCCTCTGAAGAGCTGTGTCTCTGAGGCTTCTGTGTGGCTCTTTTTTCTCTCATCATCCTTCCGCTTGAAGGAAAGACCACTGAAGATTAAGCCCCTAAATAAAACCAACGAAACGACCAACGAAATAAAATGTCCTGCCAGTCACTGTCAGGGGATTCTGTGATTCCCTCTGATACTTCTCTTCTGCTGTCATTCCTCTGAGTCACTATAAAGACTACCTTGCTCTCTTCCTGTTCCTCCTGCCTCTGTGTATCTCCCTGTGTGTGTGTTCAGCCCTGTGTGCCTTTTGAGGTTGCTCCAAGAGAGCTGGGGTACGTTGGGTTTCCAGGCCGCAGGGCTGTTGTCGCCCTTGTGGTGGTGTTGCTGGAGTTGCTCAGCCTGCTCTCGGGGTGGAAGGAGTCAGATTCCATATCCCAGCGGGCCTGCTGCTCCTTCTCCCTAGTTGTATTTTTGACCTTCTTCATTTGATATGGAAGGAAACCTTAACTTCTCTACCTGGCAAATAGTGGTTGACAACTCCACCGTGCACATATCCTCTCACCCTGCCAGAATAGCATGGGATTTGTTTTGTTTTGTTTTGTTTTCCTGTGGTACGCGGGCCTCTCACTGTTGTGGCCTCTCCCGTTGCGGAGCACAGGCTCCGGACGTGCAGGCTCAGCGGCCATGGCTCACGGGCCTAGCCGCTCCACGGCATGTGGGATCTTCCCGAACCGGGGCACGAACCCGTGTCCCCTGCATTGGCAGGCGGACTCTCAACCACTGCGCCACCAGGGAAGACCATAGCACGGGATTTTTGAGAGTTTGGGAAATGGAGCTAAAAGGAACACATACCTCCCCTTGGGGTGGGTGGAGTGCCTGAGCTTCGCCCTGTGATCATCTTGCTGTTGCTCTTTGACGGGATATGATCAGAGTAACCTCAGGCTAACTGAACCTCCTGAATAGGGTTGCCAGATAAAATACCATAATTGTTTAAGTATAAGTGTGTTCCGTGCAATATTTGGGACACACTTACACTAAAAAATTATTTGCTGTTTATCTGAAATTCAAATTTAATGGGGCATCCTGTATTTTTATTTGCTAAATCTGGCAACCCTACTCTTGGAGAACCTGGAAACTGGAGGTCAAATATCAAGTATTGATAGAAGATAAAAGGTTATGTAGGGACTTCCCTGGTGGTCCAGTGGGTAAGACTCTGCGCTGACGATGCAGGGGGCCCAGGTTTGGTCCCTGGTCGGGGAACTAGATCCCGCCTGCCACAACTAAGAAGTCCGCCTGCCTCAACTAAGACCTGGTGCAGCCAAAATAAATAAATAAATAAATATTTTCTGAAAATGGTTATGTAAATTCTCTATTCTTCCTCTTCTTCTGGTTGCCTTTTCCCTCACGGTGGACTAGTGTTTTGTTTTCTTTTTCCTTCATGACTGTACCCTCCACTTCACATAGTACTTCATTGGTGTGTATTTCTACACTGCTGATTGTCTAAAGCTGTGGAGGATCCAGGATGAATACTGTTGTCCAGCGCTTGCCTTCTATCTCAGGTCCAATGTACTGTATCTATTTTCCAGTGTGTGACTCAGGGCCTCCTGGGGGTGGCAGGGATTCTGTATGAGAAGTGAGTCAACTGGAAGAGGGTGAGGGTGGACCTCCTCAACTAAGGCCCAGTAGCACTTTGGAAAGTGGGGCTGCTGTTACAGTCATGTCGCCACCGTAGAAGTCAACTGGCTTCTGGGCACTGTGCCCACTGCCCTTGGGTAGAGTCACTGGGTTTTCCCAAAGGCAGCCAAATGAAAGTGTATTCCAGTCTCAGGATGTTCTGATTGATGCCACCTTGGGTGCTCACAGGACTTCATGGTTCAAAGGGGTTAGAAACATGGCTGTCACCTGGGTCTCTGGGAACTTTCTATTTAGCTACTGAAATCTTTTAAGTTGGCTTTTAATTTAATAGTGCCTCCTGCTCTCCTTTTGCCTGGCAAATTCCCAAATGTAAGCCTGGGTTTGGTTTGGGCAAATTTGTGTCCTCTAATAAATGGAGGTGTGATCCACAAGTCTGAGAGAGTGGTTTTGTATTGGTCTGATTTAATAGTCTTAAGCATACACTGACATCTTGGTTTTTATACTTGAAAGGAATTTGTATGAAGACTAACATTGCTAATATCACTTTTAAATTATTCATAAGGAATGGTAATAAACTTTTCTGATTTTACTGGGTCCATCACTTTCTAAAAATCAAAGCAATTCCTCACCACCACCCCTTTGCTTTGAGTGGTTTGTAAATGCTTTTCAGCTTGCAAAGGATGAAATAACTATAATTGTCATATTGCACATGGCACCTATGTGTAGCTGTGCTTATTTCTCTACATCAGATAATCAGGGTAAGGAACTGTCTGCCCTGCTAACATTGATTGTCTAGTTCCTGCCCACCCCCTACCTATTCATCCCCAGGATTTAGCTTCATTTCCTGGTTTTCAATAATGACAGACCAGTTAGTTCCCTGTTGGTGATTTTCCTCACTTATTACACTACATTCAGTAAACAATTATCAAGCTCCTACCGTGTTACAGGCTTGACTGTGCTAGGGGCTGGGTTGTGAAGATAAGATATGTCATTTAATATTTTTTGCCTCTTCCAGTTATCTCAGAAAAATCTCCTTCCCGTTTGTTATAAAAATGAACTAGGGAATTCCCTGGTGGTCCAGTGGTTAGGACTCTGTGCCTTCACTGCTGAGGGAGTGGGTTCGATCTCCTCCCCCCCAAAAAAACCATAAAGAACCCCCTCAATCCTGGCTAGCAACTGTAAATAGCGCTGGTGAGTAAAGAAGTGCAAAACCATGTTTTGTGTTTTTTTAAAAACAGCTTTATTGAGGTATAATTTACATACTGTACAATTCACCCATTTCAGGTGTACAATTTAATGATTTTTAGTAAATTTACTGAGTCATGCAACATCACCAAAATTAAGTTTGAGAACACTTCCATTGCCCCAAAGAGATCCCTCATGCGGTTAATCCCCGTTCCCACCCCCAGCCCCAGGCAACCACTAATCTTTGTCTTTTCTGAACATTTCATATAAACGGAATCAAACAATACATGGGTATATAACGAAAAAGAAGAGATAAGAACATACTCATTCGCATATATTTTCAAAAAGAAACAGGAAATACAAATAGCGAATCATGCTGTACATCTGAAACTAATGTTAATGTCAATTACGCCTCAATTGAAAAAAAATAATAAACGAAGGATAAACCAGAAATTAATGAAAATGGTTACAGGGAGTGGGTGACAATGGGGCAGAGAGTGTAGGCATGGGAGCAAGACTTTTCTGGAAATAGCTTTTTAAATAGTTTTGACTTTGAACCATGTAAAAGTTTATATTTTTTTTAATAAAAATTTCATAAAACTTTTATCCTTTTTATTAAAAAGGACAATAAAAGCAAATCCTAAAGTTGAATACAAACGGAAACAACTCCACAGAGGAAAAAAAAAGATTCACGTAATTTTTAATAGGATATAGTCTAAGGACAGAAAACTGCGAAGAACTTCTGAACTTTACTTAGGTTAATTGTTGGTAGTGGTATTGGTCTTGTAATTCTGAAAAGAGTAATATATTGGTGTTAGGAACCAGAGTTTTCATTGTAAGAGAAGCAAGATACAAATATGAAATGGGGAACGGCGAGGGAGAACCCTGTGGTATTAGATTTGAATCGAAGGTATTAGTATAAACTCATTCATTTAAAATTTTTTCTCTCTCCACTGAAAGGGCCTACAAGCAATGATGCCCCAGTTTTGTTTTGTTTTTTTAAAATATTTATTTATTTATTTGGCTGTGGCGGGTCTCAGTTGCGGCATGCGGGAGCTTTAGCTGCAGCATGCGAACTCTTAGTTGCTGCACGTGGATCGAGCCTGGGCCCCCTGCATTGGGAGGGTGGAGTCTTAGCCGCAGGACCACCAGGGAATTCCCGATGCCCC